GCCTTTGGCGTGCTCCTGGTTGTCGCGGCTGGATCCTCCGGGCGGGGGGAGGAAGGGGAGGAGGGTGGGGAGGGTAGGAGAGAGGGAAGGGGGGGAACATCGCGCAGTGTGTCCAGCTGCCTTGCGCTCCAGGGCTGCCGTGCTGCAGTCGCGCCTTGTCTGGTCTAGGGCAAGCACAAGCTGACCACGTCCTCGGGGGTCGTGGCGTGCGCGGCCAAGCACATCACGGCCGCAGCCTACAGGTTCGATGACCTGGACGGGCTGGCCAAGCTGTGGGCAGGCAGGATTGCAGGCCTCAAGGCTCAGGCGGTGGTGCCAGGCGGGATCTGGTTCTTCTCCGTCTACTTGTTCGACGGGCTCGGCTTCGGGGGCAAAAGCATCACGTTCCTGCACAGCCTGGGCCGCTGGCTGGCGGAACTGCGCTCGCCGCGGGTGACCGGCGGCGACTGGAACATGCCTGCCAGCGACGGGGGGATCGCCAGCTGGGCGCAGTTCCTTGGGGCCTCAGTGGTTTCAGCGGGAGGCGCGACCTGCCGCCCTAGCGCGGGGGTTCCAAGGGAGCTGGACTTGTTCGTGATGTCGCGAGGGCTCGCCTCTTGCGTACGCCAGGTGATGGTGCGCATGGAGGCACCCTCGGCCCCCCATTCGCCGATCGAGCTGTGCGTCTCGGGCTTTTCGCTGAGCCTGTTCGTCCAAGTCCGCCTGAAGTTGAGGAAGTTCCCGACAGCGAGGAAGGTGGGGTGCCTCCCTCAGCCGCTTGTCCACAACTGGAGTTGGGCTGAGGGGGAGGCACCCACGACCTTGGGCCTTGTAGGGGCATGGCACAAAAAAGGCTCAGGAATATGGAGGGTGAGCTCTGCTGCCAGTTCGGCCTTCACGGGCCAGCAGGCGAGAAACACCGCGGCGGGGCCGACGGCATGAGCCTCCGCACCGTCGCGCTGGACGTGTTGGTCAAGCGGCGGAAGCTGCCAGGCCAGTCTGAGGCCGCAAGGGCCTGGCGGTCCCTGGCCGCGGTGCTGGGCAGGGCGAGGTCGCTCTGGAACGGCCACGTGGGCCTCGGCCACATCGGGGAGGGCGGCATGGGGTGCGAGCGGGTTGCCGCGGACGCGCAGGTGGTCGATGCTTCTTGCAGCACCCAGATCACCGCCGACGCCGCCGACGGGCGGGTGGCCGATGCCGTCCGCGTCTCGAGCACCGCCTCCACGCATGGCCAGGACGCCTTCGAGGTTGTGCTGCCGCCTGATGGACGGCCCTTTCTGCGAGGGCGCGGAGCTGGTGGCGCTCCCCATGCGCCGCTGCAGCCTGGGCCTGGATGCGGGTCCCAGCCCTTTCGGGCTAGGGAGAAACGCGCACCCGCACGACGTTCCCAGGAGCTGCTTGGAGTGGGAGGCTTGGCAGGCGAAGCATGCCCCGCGAGCAGCGCTGAGCCGTCTTGCGCACAGGGCCTTGCCGAGGGTTCGTCGGGGTTTGAGCGGCCAGTGTCACAGCAGGCAGCCCGAGAGCCCAGTGCTTCTCCTCATGCTGGTGGGTGAGACTCGGGCGCAGCTGACGCCGTGGAGCAGCTGCGCTGCCTTCGACGCGGGGCCGACGGCCGTCTCGGGCCCAGTGAGCTGGCCGACTGCAGCTTCGCGGTTCCTGAGCTCGGAGCGGCGCTGCTCGCGGGCGGGGCCAGCCTGGCCGAGGCCTAGGAGAGCCTTCGCGAGCACGCCGGCGAAGTCGGCAAGCAGCAGCAGCAGGCCGCCCGGCACCGCTGGCAAGACTGGGCCAGAAGAGCTGTGCCCAAGGGCGTTGCGGAGGCGCGCGGGTGCAGCAAGGCCTCCTCTGCCCTCGACGGGCCCCGCGACCCCGACGGGGCCCCGCTGCAGGGGGGGGGCGCGGCCGTGGACGCGCTGCCCGCCGAGTGGCAGGCCTACTGGCAGGCGGGCGAGGCCCGCTCGGAGCCGAGGCGCTCGCGGCGGCGGAGAAGGAAGGAGCAGCTTCCGCGGGCCAGCCTGGCGCGTCTCAAGCGGGTGCTGGGCAGCCTAGCCCGCCGCGCGGGGCTGGACAGTGACTGCGTCAACCCGCGGTCATGGCTCCTGCTGCCCGACGAGCTCCTGGTGCGCATCCTCGACCTGATTGAGCTGCGGGAGCGTGCGCCCTCGTGGTCTGCCCTCTGGCCCACGCTGATCATCTTCTTCGGGAAGGACGGAGGCGGCCTCAGGACGATCGCGCTGATCGCCAGCTTGCCGCGCGCGTGGAGCCGCCTGAGGGCGGACTGGGCCCGGCAGTGGGGGCGCGACCGCCGGCTTGCAGCCTTCTGGGGAGTACGGGGCAAGTCGTGCGACCGCTCTGGCTGGGGGCGCAACGTGCTGGGTTGCCACGCCCGCGCGCTCGGCATGGAGTCAGGCCCCCTCTTCGCGGACTTGAAGAAGGCGCGCGAGTTCACATCGCACTCCATCTTGGGAAGGGAGGCCCAGGAGGTAGGCTTCAGCATGCGCGTGCTGCGAGCGGCGTGCGCACTGTACACCGGACCTCGGGCGATCTCCTTCCAGGACTGCTGCAGCGCTGTGGTCGCGGTGAACGGCGCGGCGGTCCTGGCGGGCTGCGGCCTTGCGACCATGATGATCAAGGTCATGCTCTACCGAATGTTCGTCAGCCTCGGTCGCGATCACCCGTCGGTTGCGGTGCGCAGCGCGGTGGGCGACGCGTCGGCGCAGTGCGTCGGAACGGCGATGCGCGTGGCTGAGCAGCTGGGGGCAGTGGGCCGTGAGCTCGCGGCAGGCTTCGCTGACCTTGGCCTCGTGCTTCAGGGCAGCAAGAGCTTGTGCCTTGCATCCTGCCAGTCTGTCGCCGACCGCTTGCCCGTCGAATGGGGGGCTCTCGGGTTCAGGCGTCGGGGGGTTGCGCGTGAGATGAGCGCGGGTGCGGCGACGGCCGGCGGGCGTAAAGCCCCGCTAGGATTTGCGAGGAGTTGCGCCGCGCAGGGCGCCTCAGAAGACTGCGAGGCTGGTGCGAAGATAGGGGCGGTGCACCGTTCAGGCTCCAGGCGGTCTTTCTTTGGGGATCGGCGGTCGCGGGCCTGCCTGGTAGGAAGCTCCGCGCTCTTCGCCCCCAGGCCGTGAGCAGTCTCGTTCGAAGAAAGAAAGCGGCCTCCACGGGCCTCCGCCTCCTGAGCTCCACGCTCGGGGCCCAGCTCGACCCAGCCAGGTTGCACCGCGGTGAAGTGGTGTGCATGTGGGCCCGGGCCGTCTGGGAGGGGCCCCCGCCCTTAGACATCCTCCAGGCCTGTTTCGCGGCAGCTGGGGACCACCTCCAGGCGGCTGCCTCGAAATGGGGGGCCGCCGCCTCTCCTGCCCATGTCTGGCTGCTTTCACTCGCTGACCTGGGGCGGAGGGCGGAGTCGGCGCGGGGGCTTGTCACGGAAAGAGGAAAGCAGCTAGACTTGCCAAGGATTTCGCCCAGCCTATGTCGCCAGCTCGCAGAGCGAGCGGCCTCGGGTGCATCAAATGTAGCCTCGCTCGCCAAGCATCAGCGCTCGCGAGCCTGGCTCAGACAGGTGTTTTGGCGACCGCTGCGGCGGTTGACGGAGGGGCCAGATTCGTCGTGTTGGTTGTTTCATCGCCAGGCCTCGCTCCGCTCGCTGGTGTCTCAGACTCACTGGCCACAGCAGCGGATGCACGACCACGGCCTGGCCTCCTCCAGTGTTTGTCTAGCGTGTGCAGGAGCATCAGGGACGCTGATGCATCGCAGAACTGATTGCCCTGCGCTCGAGGTCGGCAGGCGGGCTATGTGCAGTCTGCCCGCCAGGTCGGTCATGAACCAAATTCGAGAGCGGGGCACGGAGTCAGAGCTCGCTGCGCGTGGCCTCTTCCCCTCGCCCCATCGACCTCCCCCCTGCCCCGATCGTCTCTCTCGACGAAGCATGCCAGACATGGGGGGTCAACCGTCCTGCGTCTGGGTTTTTGCAGGGCATGGTGTTCGCTGACGGATCAGCCCTCTTCCCATCTTGTGAGTGCGCCCGGCGTGCGGGCTGGGGTCCCGGGATGACTGGTGAGTTGGGCAGGTCCCAGGCTGGGCGTTTCAGTGCGGCCCCAGCGGACCTGGCCAAGTTTCAGCAGGCCCGAGACGGGGAGGACGCAGCCTACTTGTTTGCGTGCGAGTGTGTGCAAGAACCTATCGAGTTTTTCACCGACTGCCAGGGAACGATAGACTCTGCGCTGTCTTAGCCTTTCGCAACCTGCTCGTCGAATCCCAGAGCGCACCTCTGGGCGAGAATTCATGCGAGGTTCGACCCGGGCCTGGTGGCCCATAAAGTCAGAGGCCACTCGACGATTCACGATGCGTGGGCTGGGCGGGTGGCGGAGTGGGAGCGGGCGGGAATTTGTCTTGCCGACAAATTCGCTCGCCGCGGGGCTGCCTGCCACCCCTCGACGGCGTCGACCTATTCAGACATCCAGGCCCCGGACAGCCTGGCCCAGGAAACCGCCCGCTGGGCTGCCTAGCAGGAGGTCCGCCTGGCCGAGTCGGCCAAGGACTCCGAGGCGCCCCCGCGGGCGGGGGTGGGGGTGGAGGAGGTGCCGCGCCTTAGGTCGTCGGATCTGCCTCCCCCGCCCCTGCCGCGCGCTCTGGTGACGTGTGGGCGCGGCCGTTTCAAGCCACAGGGCCTCCAGGCCAGCGGCTCTCGAGAAGATCCCGAGTTGTCGCTGCTGCTGCGGCTTCTCGGCCATCGATTGCGTGCTGCTGTTGTTTTCGACCCCCACGGGGCCACCGTCCTCTCAGGGCACGTCGCCCTCGTCTGCATAGCTTGCCGTCGCCTCGCTGGCGCGCCCGTGCGGGGGCAGGCTGCCCACAAAACACACGGGGCGGCAGCTGGCGAGAGGTTGGAGGGTGTTTTTCCCGTCGTGGGCCCCGCGCTACGGAGGCTGGAAGCTCGGGCCCTTGCGGGAGCCGTCCTCGGGCGACCTCCTGGCCTTGGCGGCCCCTCGGGTGCTTGGTGGGGCGCGGGCCGTGCCCAGGGCATT